TAAATTTTACAAAATAAAAAAGTGTTTTATAGGACAAATTATACATTAAAAATACAATTTATCCTATGAATTTACTAAAACACCCTTAAAGAAACTATTTTTTATGAAATGTATTTTAGTAAATTTATAAGGTGAACTATATTTTTAATGTACAATCCAAATTGTATTACATGAATCCCTTTATAAAATCAATGAGAATTAATAACAAAAACAAGAGTGAGTTTAATTAAGAATAATATGTTAGCATTTGTAGCTTACAATTAATAATGTATACAAGTTATGGTAGTATCTTACTATATGCTAGTGTTATTGTTTTTTTATTTCCTTCTAGGAATCTAGGAATCTAGGACTTCACAATCAATTCTCTGGAAATATAGCATCTTTCCAGGAATATCATAAGCTAAATTGTAGTTTTGTTGAGCATTTACACCTATTATTGTCATTCCACTCATGATCGAACATGTTTCCAATGCAGTAAGAGAACCTGGAACCAAAACGACTAATTATTGATGTATCTCGATTGGCAAGTCCTAAAATACCAGTTGCGCGTTGATCATCGAACAACCTGCCACCACTTTTGAGATTGCACCCGAATACCACATTAGGAACGAAGACTATGCCTTCATCAGATGTTAAGAACATCATTTGTTCTGTGGCAAGGATTCCAATTGAGTAACCACTAGCATAACCCTGCTTGTAGCCACAACTGTTGTCTTCATTGCACCACCTGTATGGGCTCAGCTTACAGTAATCTGAGTTGCACGACAAGTTAGCATAGGTGGAGGACTTGGTACGGTCATACGCCGGGTATACATTCTGCGGAGAACATTCGCTGCAAGGGAAGCAGCGAATCCATAGGAGGCCACTGGCACTGTCCATCACTGCAAATTGTACAATAGGCGGCTGGCCGATGGAAAAATTTGCTAAGAACAACTTGTCATCACTAGGAAAAATTTGAAATTGGACACTATCATTTGCTGGTGGTAGAGCTTGGAAGGGATCTCCTGAAGTTTTGATTTCATGCTCCATTCTCTGTATGATATTCTCTTTCGGATTGTAAAACGGAGAATGGATCGAATCACGGTGGGTAAGTTTAATGATCACAGGTTTAGGTGCCACCATACTTGTCGTAAATATGGCTACCAAGTTTATTATGCCTAGAGTTAAGAAAGGGAAAGACGGGGAAAATGCCATCATTCAAAACTGTTGGATTCTTTTTTTTTTTTTTTCCTAACTTTCTTATTTCTGTACATTGTGTATCCTTAAATAGGTATAAACTAGATGCATCACACATAAGCAATATAACACATTTTGGAGTGTTTGCAGGTTGAAACTTGTTGAGAGTTCATGATTTATGAAAAACCTATTTCTTTCAGTGAGTAGGTACAAAAACGTATCCTAAGTTTCGGTAGTTATGTAGATTAATCCTTAAAGATGATATCACAAGGAAGTTGTTTTATTCTTAACATTTTTAGTTAAGTTTATAGTTTGATAGTAGCTGGTGAGTAGAGTAGTGTACATGGTTGAGAATTCATGATCTATGAAAAATCTTTTTTTTTTTTTAATAGATTAAACAAATAAACATGTTCGTTTATAGCTTGAAAGTAATTAAGAAATTGTTGTGTAGATTTTTTTTGGCTAAATAGGGGTGTGATTTTTTTGTACAAAAACGCTAAATGATGATATCACATGGAAGTCATTTTCTTAACATTTTAGTTTGTTTATGGATTGAGAGTATGTAATAGTATGTGGAGTGAAAATTGTCAAGGAAATTAAAAGTTGAAGGTCTATTGGTTACAAAATTTTGTTGTGTAGTTTGAACTTTAATAAGCTACACAATTTAAATTATTTGATGGGAATAAGTTTTTTAATATTAGGATTATTCCTTCCATTTAATAACTTTTATCATACAATTTAAATTATAAAATAGAAAACTTTATTGGTTAATTACTTTTTTTAAGTTTCATATATTTTTCCGTCATGAGCTTGGTAAATACATAAATAATTCTAGTTGCTTGATACAAGGTTAAGAAGGTTAAATCTCCAATGGTTGAAATCATCTAGATAAAGAGAGAGAATCACAGAACCTAAGGAGCCAAATTTAAGCAGAAAGAAAAATAGGAAACCCAACATGCACTATTGCCGTTATTGGCAAAGATACAGTTTTCACTTGAGGCTGAAAGGAAAAATGAAAAAACTACAATAATAAGAAACCCAAAGATCTTTTGGGCAAAAAATAAGAGTGAAGTAACAATGCCCATGATAACGCTTCTATCACCGCCTTCTGCTTGAATATGTACATGGAGAATAGAAGATGGACAATAATTAATATACCATTTGGTTTAATACATTTTATAATATATTTATTAAAGATATTATTTTTAAATTTGAATTCAAAGTGAAAAAAATTTTTAAGTGCAAATTTTAATAGTTGAGTTGGTGGGTGTTAATAAGTGTGTTAAACTAGAATTTATACTAATCTTTTTTCATAGAAGACAATAATTGGTATACCTTTTGGTTAAATACATTCTACTGTATATTTATTAAAAAAATATTATTTTTAAATTTGAATTCAAGTAAAAAATTTTCAAATATAAATTTTAATAGTTGAGTCAATGAATATTAATAAATGTGTTAAATTAAAGATTGTACAAATTATTTTTTGTAAAAGATACAACCCCGTCAGGCTCAATACGAACCTTCCCAACACGAGCATCAACCCTATAAGTGGTAAAGACCCTTTACATTTCCCTTTATCCAAGACATAACAAAATCCTGCAAGAGATGGCATCATAAAATTCTCATCCTCTTCATCCCAAATAAAAAACAAATTATCACACCTTATCCAAATTGCAATTCAAATCTAGTTTGAGATGCTAAAAATGTCACTAATCTCTTACAACCATCTAGGGTGAGTAGGTCGTGCTCATGCTTCCTAACTATTAGTGCTACAAAATGGCCACTGACCTACACAAGAGCATGCATTTAGAGTATGTATTGTCGAGTGAAAAATCTCACATTTAATATATAACGAAAAAATATGTTGATTAAATATAAGAATTAGATGGAATACAAATTTTATATTAAAATTTATATACACAATTTTCACATTTAATTATTTTATGTATACCTAAACCTGCTAAACATCTTGTATAAGTGGAGTAGTATTTTCTAAGTTCAACTTATAGACATATGCGAATAAGACATCTAATAAAATAAGGAGTGTTTCCTATTATCTAACTGATAAATAAAATTAAAAAATAATAATAATAAGAAATAAAAACGACTTCTAAAAAAAGTTGAGGAAACCTTTTGCCTACCAAACACAAACATATAAAAGCTCAGTCTTGATAGATTGGATTCCTGCACAGCTCCTCTCCTCTGTTGGTCAGCCCTCCCTGGCGAACAACCTCTTATGTTAATTGGTTTTAAATAAAATGTAAATCTTGTATTAAAATTTACATGTATAATTTTTATATTTAATTGTCTTATGTATATCTAAACCTTTTAAACATCTTGTATAAGTGGAGTTGTATTTTCTAAGTTCAACTTATAGACATTTGTGAATAAGATGTCTAATAATATAAGGAGTGTTTCTTATTATCTAACTGACAAATAAAATAAAAATAATAATAATAGTAAGAAATAAAAACGACTTATAAAAAAGGTTGAGAAAACTCTTCTGCCTACCAATCACAAACATATAAAAGCTCAGTCTCGATAGATTGGATTTGTGCACAACTCCTCTCCTCTCCCAGTTAGCCCTCTTAAATCTCTCTCCATCCTTTGCTGGCGAATAACCTCTTACGTTAATTGGTTTTAAATAAGATGTAAATATTTATTGAAATTTACATGCATAACTTTTATATTTAATTATTTTATGTATATCTTATATAAGTGGAGTAGTACTATCTAGGTTTAACTTATTGATATTTGTGAATAAGATGTCTAATAAAATGGGGATTGTTTCCTATTATTTAATTGACAAATATTTTTTTTTTTGAAAAACAAATAAAAGATAAAAGCGACTTTAAAAAAAAGTTGAAAAACCCTAATGCCTACCAAACACAAACATATAAAAGCTCAGTCTCGATAGATTGGATTCCTGCACAGCTCCTCTCCTCTGCCGGTCAGCCCTATCAAATCTCTCTCCATCCCTCGCCGGCGAACAGCCTCTCGTGGCCGCAACTCCCGATCCCGAACGCCAAACCACCTGGTAACTAAATTTGCTTCGCTCTGTTGATTTTGCTGTTAATTAAGGTCTAGATCAAGCTGCCTATTGTGAAATAGAAACCATACATAACTAATTAATTATGGATTTTAGCGGTAGCATCTACCTACTATAAATTCATCTCTAGTGGCAACCTGGGGCAGGGATAAAAGTTTTGAAAAATCTAAAAATTTTAGTTCTGTTCTATCTATTGTTTTAGTCATACATTTGGGGAGTTTAAAAAATAAAGGATATTTTACTTTTTGCCCAAATTTTAATCATTTATTCATTAGAATCATTTTTAATTTAAGCGAATAATTCAACCTGCCAATAACTTAAAAAGTCAGTTATAGTTTTTCTTTTTGAAAGTTAGATGTTTTGCACTCAACTATAAAAATATGGATGAGAAATTTATTAAGTACAAATTCTTAAAATGGAATACAATTTAAAGCAAAAAAGGTAAACTTATATTTATACTGTGGTTAAGGAACTAGAGGTTGATGCCCCTCAACTTCAAGGTTGTGGTTTCGACTCCCACAAATGGTGAGTTTTTTCTAGGTTTTTTCAGATGGGCAAAAGCCAACTTTGAGCCTCTCACCTTACTGAATTTGAAGATTTTAACCCTTCACCTTATACTGTAACATTTTTAACCCATCACCTTACTATATTTGTAGGTTTTGGCCTATCACTTTATAGTATGACACTTTTAACACTTCACCTATTAAAATTTAAAAAAAATAGTCCTCATTTTGTAACATTTTGTTAGTTCTGTTAGCTAACTATTAGTTGACTATTAATTGATAAAAACCTTCTTTTAGCTAATAGAATTAACATAATTAATTTTATAATATTTCGTTCATTCTATTAATTGACTATTAATTGATTATTAATTGACAAAAACTTACTTTAAGTTAACAAAGTTTACAGTTAGTATAAAATAAGAGTTATTTTCTATAATTTTAATAAATGAGAGGTTAAAACTTACCAATCTAGTAAGGTGAAATGTTAAAAGTGTTATAATATAAAGTAAAATATTAAAACCTTCAAACTTGATAAAATGAGAGGTTAAAGATAAGTTTTCGCCTTTTCATATGGTTATATCTGCACTGTGTACATTTGTATATACTGCACTTGTGCTAAAAAGTAACTTATTCTCAATTAAAAAAAAAAAAAGCACTCTTGTAGTAGTTGTAGCTGTGTCACCCTGAGTCTGCCCTTAAGAGCATCTCCATTGGTGATATTGAGTATCCGAAATGCCATATCATCACAATCCATATTATTTTGTTCAAGTTGCATTTAAAATCTCCAAGGGAGACTCTCATCTCCAATGAAGAAATTCGAGAGAGACTCTTCATAAGTTGCACCCACATTTTTTATTCAACTCACACTCCCTAAATTTTTTAATTGAAAGGAAAAAAAAAAATGGTATTAGGGTGGGTATCCCCATGGGGACACCCCCATGTAGATGGCCTAAAATTACTCAAAGCTTTTCTTCTACTTGTA